GTGGATCACGAGGTCAGGAGATTGAGACCATCCTGGCTAACATGGTGAAACCCCGTCTCTACTAAGAAATACAAAAAACTAGCCGGGCGAGGTGGCGGGCGCCTGTAGTCCCAGCTACTCGGGAGGCTGAGGCCGGAGAATGGCGTGAACCCGGGAGGCGGAGCTTGCAGTGAGCTGAAATCTGGCCACTGCACTCCAGCCTGGGCTACAGAGCGAGACTCCGTCTCATTCTTGTTAATTGATGATTAAAATAAAAGTTCAATTAACATGAATTATTATTAATCTTCATGTTAATCCTCAATTCAGGTTAATCATCAATTAACAAGAATACATTAACAATTAGTTCTTAGGCATACAGCCAATGAATGACACTCAACAAAAATAATAACATGCATTATTTATAGATAATGAATATATCCAGAATTTTCCATTGGGCCAAAAATTCCTTTTCCCAGGTTTCTCTGTTCTAGAACAGTTTATCATTTCTTTTTTCTTTTCTTTCTTTTTTTTTTTTTTTGAGACAGAGTCTCACTCTGTTGCCCAGGCTGGAGTACAGTGGTGAGATCTCGACTCACTGCAACCTGCGCCTCCGGGTTCAAGTGATTCTCCTGCTTCGGCCTCCCAAGTAGGTGGGTATTACAGGCATGTACTACCACACCCAGCTAATTTTTGTATTTTTAGTAGAGGTGGAGTTTCACTATGTTGGCCAGGCTGGTCTCAAACTCCTGACCTCAGGTGATTTGCCCGCCTTGGCATCCCAAAGTGCTGGGATTACAGGCATGAGCCACTGCTCCTGGTGTTTATTTCTCTTGTTTTGAGTCAGAGTCTTGTTCTGCCATCCAGGCTGGAGTGCAACAGCACAATCATAACTTACTAAAGCCTTGAATTCCTGGGCTCAGGCAATCTGCCTGCCTCAGCCTCCCCAGTAGCTGGGACTCCAGGCATGAACTACCATGTCTGGCTAATTTTTAAAAGTATTTTGTGGAGACAGGGTCTCACTTTGTTACCCAGGCTGGTCTTGAACTCTAGGGCTCAAGCAGTACTCCTGCCTCAGCCTCCCAAAATGCTGGGATTACAGGCATGAGTCAACCCACCCAGCTATCATTTCATATATATGTACTTACTAAAATCAGTAAAAGAATCCCTGGGGACCAAAGCTCACCAAGCTCAATGCAGATTTATATCACTGTTGGCTCTAGGCTACACAAGGTCACAGAGGCAGCTATGGCCCTGGGAGCTAGGCACTGTCAGGAATGAATATGGAAGGAATAAGGAAGAAATATGACCTGTAGTAATGCTGGGGTAACATTCCAGAACCATCCGCAACATTGGGACTTACCTTTTTAAAAGACATGTACTATTTTGGGAGTCTCCCCAGGAAAATACATTTATTATTTTTGTTGTTGTTTTTGTTTTTGAGATGGAGTTTTGCTCTTGTTTCCCAGGCTGGAGTGCAACAGCGCGATCTCAGCTCACTGCAACCTCTGCCTCCTAGGTTCAAGCGATTCTCCTGCCTCAGCCTTACCAAGTAGCTTGGATTATAGGTGTGTGCCACAAAGCCTGGCTAAGTTTGTATTTTTAGTAGAGATGGGGTTTCGCCATGTGGGTCAGGCTGGTCTCAAACTTCCGACCTCAGGTGATCTGCCCACCTTGCCATCCCAAAGTGCTGGGATTACAGGCGTGAGCCACTGTGCCCAGCCAGGAAAATACATTTAAACTCAAACTACTGCACATATGTTGCAGGAAGTCAGGGACTCCGAACGGAGGGTCCGGCTGAAGCCATGGCAGAACATAAATTGTGAAAATTTCATGGACATTTATTAGTTCCCTAAATTAGTACTTTTATAATTTCTTACGCCTGTCTTTACCGCAGTCTCTGAACATAAATTGTGAAGATTTCATGGACACTTAATCACTTCCCCAATCAATACCCTTGTTATTTCCTATGCCTGTCTTTAATCTCTTAATCCCATCATCTTTGTAAACTGAGGAGGATGTATGTTGCCTCAGGACCCTGTGATGATTGCGTTAACTGCACAAATTGTTTGTAAAGCATGTGTGTTTGAACAATATGAAATCTGGGCACCTTGAAAAAAGAACAGGATGACAGCAATGTTCAGGGAACAAGGGCGATAACTTTAAACTCTGACTTGCTGTGAGCCGGGCAGAACAGAGCCATATTTCTCTTCTTTAAAAAGCAAATAGGAGAAATATTGCTGAATTCTTTTTCTCAGCAAGGCACATCCCAGAGAAAGAGAATGCGTCCCTGAGGGGAGGCCTCTAAAATGGCTGCTTTGGGGACGGCTGTCTTTTATGGTTGTAGACAAAGGGATGAAATAAGCCCCAGTCTCCCATATCACTCTCAGGCTTATTAGGACGAGGAAATTCCCACCTAATAAATTTTGGTCAGACAGGTTGTGGGCTCTCAAACCCTGTCAGGAGATAAGATGTTATCAATGACAATGCGTGCCCGAAACTTCATTAGCAATTTTAATTTCACCCCATCCTGTGGTCATGATTTCGCCCTGCCTCCATTTGCTTTGTGATATTTTATTACCTTGTGAAGCATGTGAACTCTGTGACCCACGCCCTATTCATATATTTCCTCCCCTTTTGAAAATCGCTAATAAAAACTTGCTGGTTTTATGGCTCAGGGGGCATCACAGAACCTGCCAACATGTGATGTCTCCCCTGGACACCCAGGTTTAAAATTTCTCTCTTTTGTACTCTTTCCCTTTATTTCTCAGACCAGCTGACAGTTAGGGAAATAGAAAAGAACCCATGTTGAATATTGGAGGTGAATTTCCCCTGACACATATGTATTTCATAGACTCCATGAAACCCATCCAGTGAATTCTTAGAGGTCCAAGACCCCTGATTAAGAACTGTTGGCTGGCCACAGTGGCTCATGCCTGTAATCCTAGCACTTTGGGAGGCCAAAGTGGGTGGATCACTTGAGGTCAGGAGTTCGAGACCAGCCTGGCCAACATGATGAAACCCCGTCTCTACTAAAAATACAAAAATTAACCAGGCTTGGTGGCATGCACCTGTAGTCCTAGCTACTCAGGAGGCTGAAGCAAGAGAATTGCTTGAACCTGGGAGGCGGAGGTTGTAGTGAGCCGAGGTCATGCCGTGGCACTCCAGCCTGGGTGACAGAGTGAGATTCTGTCTCCAAAAAAACAAGAACTGTTGACCTATGCTTCTACCAGATTCCCATTCCTCCTGCTTTCAAACAGTCTGCAGCACCCTGCTTCCCACTTTCCATCTCAGACTTGGGGCTACACCAGTAGAGAGGTTGTATGTGCTGTGAGAAGGTGGGGGTCTGCTCTGCCTGTGGCCTACTAAAGAGTCTATACTTCTTTAATTATTGCCCTTGTTTTTGGTATTTCAGGGTTGGTCCACAGGACTCAGGGAAGGAGAAAAAAGTATAAAAATTTCTTTTCGGCCAGGCGCGGTGGCTCAAGCCTGTAATCCCAGCACTTTGGGAGGCCGAGACGGGCGGATCACGAGGTCAGGAGACCCAGACCATCCTGGCTAACCCGGTGAAACCCCGTCTCTACTAAAAAATACAAAAAACTAGCCGGGCGAGGTGGCGGGCACCTGTAGTCCCAGCTACTCGGGAGGCTGAGGCAGGAGAATAGCGTAAACCCGGGAGGCGGAGCTTGTAGTGAGCCGAGTTCGTGCCACTGCACTACAGCCTGGGCAACAGAGCAAAGACTCCGTCTCAAAAAAAAAAAAAAAAAATTTCTTTTCTTACAAGAATTCCAAGATGTGTCAGAGTTGACCAGAAGCATAGAGAAGACTACATAGTCAAGTACCCTCCAGGGGAATGTGGTAGAATTGGCAGTCTATTGGTCTCTTTGTAATGTTAGACTAAATAAATCACCTGGAGGCTGACATTGGCTCCTTCCCTTCTCAGGAGACAGATCTGGCCTAAATACAGAGATGCCTACAAGGAAGACCTAGGATCACAATTGTTCTTAGCACATAAAACTCTTCTTCCAGGTTCTAGAGAAAGTGGCCACTCTGCACCAAAGCCAAAGAACTGCAGAGTACTCCTCTTGGCTCGGGTTTCATATTGCTCGGCAAAGATGGTTCCTCTCATCTTTGCCGTCATTTTGTGGATACCAACACACAACATGTTGTAACTGACCAAGGCTGTTGTATGAGAAGTGTCCATTACTGTTGTTTACTCTATCTTGCACAAAGATGCCAAGTAAGGCTGGAGCAAAGGCCTTGGTGATACTCTTGCCTTGGACAGACAAATGGCAGTAGTGCAGCTAGTCCCTCAATTGCACCTGTTTGTATTCCAAAGGCAGTAAACACAGATGTTCAGAAGCCCTTTATAATAAATATGTCAAATATCTGAAATTATTCCCCAGCTCTGACAAAACTTGCCTTCTGGGTATGGAAACAAAACAAGAATTTGTGATTACTGCGGACTATATCTAGAACTGCCTTGAGGCTGGCCATGAGAGACTTGAAACCACAATTTTCACTGAGGATCTAAACCTCAGATCACATTTGCTTGGGGCTACTATGGGGTAAGGTGATATAAAGGATGTAAAAAGGATGTTGCAGATGCTCATGAGACCAGGTTTTGTGGCAAGCTAGGGCCACCACTAATTCTCACGATGACTTCTCTACAGGACTTGCTTAAGCACAGGCACGGGACCCACCAATAATCAGATGTGCACTCTACACAGACTGCACCCACCGAGAACAGGTCACAGTCCTGTGACACAAACCAATATACACAGGTCTGAGAGGCTGGCATTTTGGTCTGTGCTTATTTAACAAATCCCCTTCTGCTGTGGGCATTAGGACAGGGGGCTGGCAATACTCAGGTGAACTGTCCCACCCCCAAGTCCAAAGCAGCAGCTCTCAGGCCTCTGCTGCTTCATGCCATTCCAAACATGATGGCTGGGCTTACACACGTATCTTACTGGAGGCCTCCCTCTCTGTGTTCCCTTTTTACCGCTATTCCATTACTTCCACAGGAGCTGGAGGCTGGCCCATCCACTCCAAGCCAGAGAACAAGCAGAGGCTGCCACAGGAGATCCTAGGCAAGCAATCAGCCACAGCATCTAGATTAGCATGAAGGAAACACTGGCCAAATTAAAAGATGAAACTTCCAAAAGGTAAATCTCTGTGTATTCATGCCTAATCTTCCAAGGTTGTGTAAATAATTTTTTTCTACCGTCCCCCATCATTTGCACACATTTTTGTCAAGTCCAAACATAATTTGAAGTGAGGGTTATGTGAATAATTTTTTTTTCTACCGGGTCCCCATCATTTGCACACATTTTTGTCAAGTCCAAACATAATTTGAAGTGAGGTAGGTAGTTTTCCCTACTCATGCTGTCCTTGGGGTGATGTTGGGGCTGTGCCCTGAACGCACTCTGTCTTCCCCCGTGGCAGGCAGTAAGTCAGGGCTGGCACCAGTGGCTGGTGGAGCTTCAGCTGGCTATTTTCTCAATCTCATCCAAATCATCCGTGTCCAATCGCTTCTATCTTCTCTTATCTGGGGGAAAATACACAGGTCTCACCGTGCTCTGTGGAATGTGCCCCACCCGGGCCACAGCAATCATCTGTTCATCCCCAAAGGCTCCGGGTGCTCTGAGGCAGGGGGCAGGGCTAGTCACTGACAGCAAGAATGTGAGCCCCACGCCCCGAAGCCCGGTCATGGGGGAACTGTCCTTGGAGTCCTTGGGTCCTGAAGTCTCCAGGTGTGGCCCTGAGAACTGCCATATGGTCAGAAAGGAGGAGTGGGGACAGGGACAGAGCCTCTCCTCGGGCTACAGAAGATCCTACCCTTTCCCACCCCCGCCCTTAGTAAGCGTGCCAGGCACAGACCCTCCCCTGACTCACTAAATGCTCCTGGATTCTGTTCAGGATGTTCATGCTGTGCTTGCTGTCCACCATGTTCACTGCCAGGCCCCTCTGCCAAAGCGGCCTGTGCGCCCGATCCGTGCAGGTAGGTCTGTGTCAGGGTTCCGCCCTTGTCCACGGGAAGATCAAAGTTGATGACGACAGACACTTGTTCAACATCGATGCCTATGTGGAAGGAGAGATGGAGGCTGAGAAGACCAAGGACAGGAGACAAATCAGTCATGTGGTCCATCCACAATGGAGTATGACTCAGCATTAAGGGAATGCAGCACTAAGAGAGATGTATATGACGCCAAGTGTAGTGGTAGCCAGATCTGTGCGCCATGCAGGCGAGATTTAGATGATGCCCCAAAGCAAAACTACAGGCACAGAAACCAAACTAGCAGGGGCCACAGGGTGGGGTGCAGGAGAGGTGATGAATGAGTCCTGGAGAGTTGGAGACAGAGAGAAGTAAGGACAAGAGACAAAAATCACTGTTGTCCAAAGGTAAGTCAATGCATACCAACTTTGGGTAGAGGGAAAGAATTTGGGGCCGAGCATGGTGGTTATACCTGTAATCCCAGCACTTTGGGAGGCCGAGGCAGGCAGATCATCTGAGGTCAAGAGTTCAAGACCAGCCTGGCCCACACTGCAAAACCCCGGCTGTACTAAAAATACAAAAATTAGCTGGGCTTGGTGGTGGGTGCCTGTAATCCCATCTACTCAGGAGGCTGAGGCAGGAGAATCACTTAAACCCAGGAGGTGGAGGTTACAGTGAGCTGAGATTGTGCCACTGCACTCGAGCCTGGGCCACTGAGCGAGACTCTGTCTAAAAAAAAAAAAAAAATTGGGGGGACAGGCCAACTCTGGGAATTGGCACAAGAGAGGGCACATACAGGCATACAGCAGAACCTGGAGGAAAATAAACAGCAACTGGCAGGTGCCAACAAAATTATGAAATCAGTCAGTAAGCCTCCGGGAGACACAACGCTCTGGACAACGCTCAAGCTTGGAAGAGCAGGCTCCGTTCTCTACCAGTCAGATGCCTGTACATTTCCTTCCACCAAGTCAGGACTCCTGGTTTCTGTGGGAGTTTTTATCACCTGAGGGGAATGCAACAGTCTCTCCTAGAGAAAGGAATATTGTCACCAACCTCACTGATCTCCTGAGACCATCTGACTTCCCTGTGTACAAGGATTTCTAGCTCAAACTGGGCCTGGGACCCCGAGCCTGGCAGACCAGGTGGACACGCCCTCTGCTCACCGCTGGCACACACATTGGTGGTCACCAGAACCTTCTCTTTGCTCCTCTCGAAGCGCTCAATCACCGCAGCCCTCTGCTCCACCATCATCTCCCACTCAGCAGAGCCACCTGGTGGCCTTCTTTGAGAGCTCTGCTGCCAGCCAACTAGCTGTTTTAAGTAGTCTGTAGGTGAAAAGAATTGTTTTATATGAACAGACCTATAAAAACAAAAGGAAGACAACTGCAAAAAAGTGGCTTGCCACAATTAAAATACATGAAGGCACTGCTAAATCCAGTTAGGAGGTTAGGCTTAAAATTTCTCAATGAAGTATGGTGGTACATACCTACAGTCCAAGCTACACACTTGAGCCCAGGAGTTCAAGGCTGGCCTGGGCAACACATGGCAAGAACCCATCTCAAAAAAATTTTTTTCAAATAGAATTTTCACTATATGATTTCTTTCTTTTTAGATAAGTTACGAACTGCTGTTAGTTTTTATCTAGAAAGAGGTGGTTTTAGCTAAAGATCTTCATTCCTAAATAGTCTATGTTCTTGTTAGATATGAGGGCTCGTGCCTGTAGTCTCTAGTGCTTTGGGAGGCTGAGACTGAAGATCGCCGAGGCTTAAGAGTTTGAGACCAGCCTGCACAACAGAGCAAGACCCCATCTCTACAAAAATAAAAATAATTAGCCTGACATGCATGGAGCACACACCTGTAGCCCTAGTAACAAGAGCCAAGGCTGCAGTGAGCTATGATCATGCCATATCAGAGCCCTGGCCTGAAATGATAGGAGCAAGACCCTATCTCAAAAACAAACTAACTAAAAATATATATATATTAAAATTTTATATATTTTTTGAGACAGGATCTCATTTGCTGCCCACTCTGGAGTGCAGTGGCACAATCACAGCTCACTGCAGTCTCAACCTCCTGGGCTCAATCAGTCCTCCCATCTGAGCCTCCCAAGCAGCTGGGACCATAGGCACACACCACCACGCCTGGCTAAATTTTAAAATTTTTGTAGATGGGATCTTGCCATGTTGTGCAGGTTGGTCTTGAACTCCTGGGCTCAAGAAGATCCCCCCACCTCAGCCTCCCAAAGGGCTGGGATTACAGGTGTCAGCCACTGTGCCCAGCCATATATTTTTTTTTAAAGATGAGGTCTCATCATGTTGTTGCCTATATTGCTTGAACCCTATTAGATATCCTCCACCCTTGTAGCTTTGAGGTTGGGACTATATGATTACACCAGCTTATTTTCTTTTTTAGTTGTTGGGTTTTTTTGTTTGTTTGTTTTTGTATTGAGATCGGAGTTTCGTCTTGCTACCCAGGCTGGAGTACAATGGCACAATCTTGGCTCACTGCAACCTCCACGTCCTGGGTTCAAGCGATTCTCCTGCTTCCAGCCTCCTGAGTAGCTGGGGCCATAGGCATACCACCACACAGGGCCACTTGTATTTTTAGTAGAGACAGGGTTTCACCATGTTGGCCAGGCTGGTCTTGATCTCCTGACCTCAGGTGATCCACCTGCCTTGGCCTCCAAAAATTGCTGGGATTACAGGCATGAGCCACCGCAAGGCTGCCCAGCTTATTCTTTTTTTTTTTTTTTTTTTTTTTTGAGACGGAGTCTTGCTCTGTCGCCCAGGCTGGAGTGCAGTGGCCGGATCTCAGCTCACTGCAAGCCCGCCTCCCGGGTTTACGCCGATTCTGCCTCAGCCTCCCGAGCAGCCGGGACTACACGCGCCCCGCCACCTCGGCCTCGCCAGTTTTTTTTGTGTTTTTAGTAGAGATGGGGTTTCACTGTGTTAGCCAGGATGGTCTCGATCTCCTGACCTCGTGGATCCGCCCGCCTCGGCCTCCCAAAGTGCTGGGATTACAGGCTTGAGCCACCGCGCCCGGCCTGCCCAGCTTATTCTTAAAAATCTAAAGATTATTTCATTGGCTGTTACTTGGGGTTTTTTTTCCCAGTAATCACTAAGAAGTGGAATCAAAGTCTCCCTCTTACAACTCATTAAAACCTTAGGAGAACAAACCACTTCCTTTCTTCCTATGGCGCCCAGGCATCCAGTCCTCCCATGGAGCCCTGTGTGGGAGCTGGCTGAGAGGGAAGGGCCAGGCCTGCCACTGCTGCTCCTACTCACATGGCAGAAGATCATGGCTTGAGCAATGGCATGGCCCCATAGAGGTTAATACAAGGCCTGGAACTTCTCGCCTCTGCTGCTGCACAGGACATAGTACTGCCTTGATGGTGTCCAGGTCTCTCTTCCTCCCGCTCAGTTTCTGATAAATGTCAGTCTGGGACCACTTTCTGGGCAAACTTCCAGACAGAGCTTCCCAAAGGTGGCAGAAAAGCAGCATCTGGCAGTTCCTACAGCATCCTGCAGTGGAAGGCCCTGGCATGTGGCCCCAGGTGGCCCCGAAGCAGCGGAGCACAGCCTCCCAGCTGGGAGGGTCTAGATGCCCAGGAAGGCTGAAGGGGGAGGAGGAGCAGTGAGCCCTGGGTGGGACAGGGGTTGGGGAGAGTCCTCAGGCCCCTTCTCAGCCCAGGCTGGGAGGGATCGTGGTCAGTGCTGACATGGAAATGGCCTGTCAAACAAATGCTGCTGAGAGTACGAGAGCCAAGACCCTGGCAGAGGCCAGAGGAGGCGTCTGAAGTGAAGGGAGAAGACACTGCAGATGGGGAGGCTGAGGAGTCCTCTGCCCTCGAGATCCCTACCTCTGGATGCGGATGCTCTGATCCTGGTGGCCCTGAGTGGCTATCATGACGTCAGCTTCATCCAGAACAAACACCTTGATTTTCTTGGGATCAATGAACTTGAGCTTGGAGCACCAGTCCAGCACGGTCCCAGGGGTGCCAATGACAATCTGCTCACTGATCTTCTGGCTCTTTCCACTGTGGGAGACTCCAAGATGTTTTCCATGCATGGATATTTCTTTGTTTTTTTTTTTTTTTGTTTGCATTTCTTTTCTTTTTGTTTTGTTTGTTTTGTTTTTTGAGACGGAGTTTCACTCTTGTTGCCCAGGCTGGAGTGCAGTGGCAAGATCTTGGCTCACTGCAACCTCTGCCGCCAGGTTCAAGCAATTCTCCTGCCTCAGCCTTCCAAAATAGCTGGGATTACAGGCACCTGCCACTGCAGTAATCGGCTAATTTCGTATTTTTAGTAGAGACGGGTTTCACCATCTTGGCCAGGCTGGTCTTGAACTCCTGACTTGGTGATCCACCTGCCTCACGCCTCCAAAGTGCTGGGATTACAGACGGAGCCACCATGCCCGCCTCCACGGGTATTTCAAAGGCAAAGCCAGCTCTTCTTTCTGAGAAATTCTAAACCTATTATATATTTTAATCCAAACAAGCTTATTGCTGCATTAGTATATTAAGGAACGTTAGGATAGCACTATAGTATTTAATGGACATAAAACCAGACAAAATGCTGAAAAGGTAATGGGTATAAAAATACAATTAAAATAAGTAAGATCTAGTATTTGATAGCACAACTGAGTGACTACAGTCAACAATTTAATGTACATTTGCACAATTGAAAGGGCTGGGCGCGGTGGCTCATGACTCTAATCCCAGCATTTTGGGAGGCAGATCACCTGAGGTTAGGAGTTCGGCACGCTTAGTCAACATGGCAAAACCCCGTCTCTACTAAAAATACAAAATTAGCTGGGTATGTGGCTCATGTAATCTCAGCTACTGGGGGAGGCTGGGGCGAATCACTTGAACCCGGGGAGGCAGAGGTTGCAGTGAGCTGGAGATTGCGCCATTGCACTCAGCCTGGGCACAAGAGCAAACTCTGTCTGAAAAAAAAAAAAACAGGCAGGGAGCAGTGGGTCACGCCTGTAATCCCAGCACTTTGGGAGGCGGGCAAGCTTAGATCACCTGGAGGTCAGGAGTTCAAGACCAGCCTGGTCAACATGGTGAAACCCCATCTCTACTAAAAATAAAATTAGCCAGGTGTGGTGGGCACCTATTGTCCCACCTACTCAGGAGGCTGAGGCAGGCAGCTTCTTGAACCCGAGGGAGGTTGCAGTGAGCTGAGATTGCACCACTGTACTCCAGCCTGGGCAACAGAGTGAGAATCCGTCTTCAAAAAACAAAACAAGAACCAAAAAAACAACCACAAACTAAAATTGTTTATAACATAAAGAAAGGATACATGCTTGAGTCAATGGATACCCCAGTTACCCCTGAGGATTATTATGCATTGCATGCCTGTATCAAAACATCTCATGTGCCCCATAAACATATACACCTACTATGTACCCACGCTGAAAAGACATAGTAAGGATATAAACAATTAGAAGATGAATCCTCTTCAGTAGCATTCTTCTCATCTCTGTAATCATCCAATTCTCTGAAGTATCTGATCTTTATTTTTTTCTGTCCACATTTCTGTCAACAACAGACTGACACTTCCTCTCAGGCAGACTTTTCACAGTTCTTATCTTTCTAATGCACTCTGCCCCTTCCAGCTCTATCCTGGGCATCCATTTCAAATATGTCAGTTGCTTATAATAGCTGGGCGCGGTGGCGCATGCCTGTAATCCCAGCTCCTCAGGAAGCTGAGGCACGAGAATCACTTGCTTCCAGGAGGCGGAGGTTGCAGTAGGCCAGGATTGCATCCCTGCACTCCAGCCTGGGTGACAGAGGGAGACTCTGTCTCAAAAAAAAAAAAAAAAAAAAAAAAAAAAAGGCCAGGTGCCGTGGCTCATGCCTATAATCCCAGCACTTTGGGAGGCTGAGGCGGGCAGATCACGAGGTCAAGAGTTGCAGATCATTTGGCCAACATGGTGAAACCCCATCTCTACTAAAAATACAAAAATTGGCCAGGCGTGGTGGCGGGTGCCTGTAGTCCCAGCTACTCGGGAGGCTGAGGCAGAAGAATGGCGTGAACCCGTGAGGCGGAGCTTGCAGTGAGCCAAGATCATGCCACTGCACTCCAGCCTGGGTGACAGAGTGAGACTCTGTCTGAAAAAAAAAAGAAAAAAAAATCAGAATTTTCTACCCTTCTACTTTGAATACAAATTGCAAAATTTTAAATGATTATCTCCCAATAAGTTTCATTATATTATTTACTTTTCAGAACTGGCCTCAGGTTGGCATTCGGACATTGTATGCAGACTTGATTTTCATAAAGTCACATTTGTTTCAGAGATCCATAAAACTCAACCAAACCTCTAACAATTTTTTTTTTTTTTGGAGATAGAATCTCATTCTGTCACCCAGGCTGGAGTACAGTGGTGCTGTCTCGGCTCACTGCAACCTCCCCCTGGCCCGGGTTCAGGCAATTCTCCAGCCTTAGCTTCCTGGGTAGCTGGGATTACAGGTGCGCACCACCATGCCCGGCTAATTTTTTTGTATTTTTAGTAGAGACAGGGTTTCATCATGTTAGTCAGGCTGGTCTCGAACTCCTAACCTTAAAATGATCCAGCCACCTCGGGCTCCCAAAGTGCTGAGATTACTGGCATGAGCCACCACGCCTGGCCAACAACACTTTTAAAATTACTTAAGTAATATGAGTTGTAAAACAAACTAGTGTAGAAAAAATTAGTAACAAAAAAGAATTAACAGAATAATCTCCAGAGTCAATAGCCATAAACATTCTGAGTTTTTTTTTTTTTTTTTTTTTTGAGGCGGAGTCTCGCTCTGTCGCCCAGGCTGGAGTGCAGTGGCCGGATCTCAGCTCACTGCAAGCTCCGCCTCCTGGGTTCACGCCATTCTCCTGTCTCAGCCTCCCGAGTAGCTGGGACTACAGGCACTCGCCACCGCGCCCAGCTAGTTTTTTGTATTTTTTTAGTAGAGACGGGGTTTCACCGGGTTAGCCAGGATGGTCTCGATCTCCTGACCTTGTGATCCACCCGTCTCGGCCTCCCAAAGTGCTGGGATTACAGGCTTGAGCCACCGCGCCCGGCCCATTCTGGGTTTTTATTCTGCTGATGAAGAGAAGTAAATTAGGTAATTAAACAAATTCGGTCCTAGCCTAGTGGCTTACACCTGTAATCCCATCACTTTGAGGGGCTGAGGCAGGAGGATTGCTTGAGACTTGGAGTTCTAGACCAACTTGGGCAACATAGCAAGACACTGTCTTTACAAAAAAAAAAGAAGTCTTTACCAAAAAAAAAAAATTTTTTTTTTGAGACAGAGTTTTGCTCTGTCACCCAGGCTGGAGTGTAGTGGCATGATCTTGGCTCACTGCAACCTCCACCTCCCGGGTTCAAGTGATTCTCCTGCCTCAGCCTCCTGAGTAGCTGGGACTACAGGCGCACGCCACCATGCCTGGCTGATTTTTCTATTTTTAGTAGAGATGGGGTTTCACCATGTTGGCCAGTATGGTCTCTATCTCCTGTCCTCAGGTGATCTGCCCACCTCAGCCTCGCAAAGTGCTGGGATGCCAAGGAATGTCCTGATGAGGTGCATGTCTGCAGTTTACTTTCAAATGGTTTGACAAAAATGTATACATTTGGCCGGGCGCGGTGGCTCACGCCTGTAATCCCTGCACTTTGGGAGGCCGAGGCGGGTGGATCATGAGGTCAGGAGATCGAGACCATCCTGGCTAACATGGTGAAACTCCGTCTCTACTAAAATACAAAAAATTAGCTGGGCGCGGTGGCGGGCGCCTGTAGTCCCAGCTACTCGGGAGGCTGAGGCAGGAGAATGGCGCAAACCCGGGAGGCGGAGCTTGCAGTGAGCCAAGATGGTGCCACTGCACTCCAGCCTGGGTGACAGAGTGAAGACTCCGCCTCAAAAAAAAAAAAAAAAATATATATATATACATTTATGTAAAGCAAATATGGCAAAATGTTAAGTTTTTGAATCTAGGTGGAAAAATACATGTGTTTATTGTATTATTTCAACTACTGGGTATGTTTTGAAATGTTTCAAAATAAAAAGAATTAGGTTGATGATTTAGGACCACATTCACATACTCACATTTATTGCCTCGAACAGCATAAGCTAGCTTCAGTTCAGGGTAAAATTTGCCCATTTGTTCAATCACTTTTCCTGTTTGGAGGGCGAGCTCATACGTTGGGGAGAGGCATAGACACTGGTAGGGAAAGAGTGCAGAGTGCAAATTCAAGACAATAGCTCTTTTGCAAAGGGGAATTACCATTAGAACTTAGCCACTCCTCCAGCTGAAGGTGAAGGAAAGAATATGTACATTAAAGTGTACACCATTTGATTCTTTAAGCTACAGCGTCATAAGCTAGAATTCTTAGGTGTCAGAACTCTGGGTAGGTAAAGACACTTGGAAACAGACACTGGCCATTGCAGTACAAAACCTACCCATGAGCACGGATCTAAAGTTCCAGTTGGCATTAGCTTTCTTTTCATTTACTCAGAAAGCTCTCAGAACTTTCTAATGGATGACAGTTGCAATGAAACAGGTTTTCCTGCAAGTAAAGGAGCCAGGCCTATAAGAAGCATCCCAGAACTGGCACACCATGAAAAAGGAAACAGGATTTTTATTGCTGTTAGAGGATATTCCATATTATTTGTGCTCAATTTAAGGAGTTTTAGTTTGTGTAAAAAGTAATGCATAAATGCACAGCTTGGCTTTTATTTTTTTGAGACAGAGTTTCGTTCTTTTTGTCCAGGCTGGAGTGCAGCGGTGTGATCTCAGCTCACTGCAACCTCCGCCTCCTAGGTTCAAATGATTCTCTTGCCTCAGCCTCCCAAGTAGCTGGGATTACAGGCACACACCACCAGACCCGGCTAATTTTTTATTTTTAGTATAGATGGGGTTTCACCATGTTGGCCAGGCTGGTCTAGAACTCCTGACCTCAGGTGATCTGCCCACCTCAGCCTCCCAAAGTGCTGGGATTACAGGCCTGAGCCACCGCACTCGGCTCACAGCTTGGCTTTTAATCCATCAAATGGAAATCCCCTCTATCTATGCATTAGTAGAAACCTAAATTCATAAATCCTTACCTGGGGGTATTTGTTTGCAGGTTCTACTTGGCTAAGCATGGCCAGCACGAAGGCAGCTGTTTTACCAGTACCAGACTGAGATTGGGCAATTAAGTTCTGTGGGCTGCACAAGAAACAAACTGGTTAGGAGCTTAAATCTCAAGTAACCTTTTTAGTATTAAAAATTCATTTATAGGAGACGCTGGAGTACAGTGGCACAATCTTGGCTCACTGCAGCCTCAGCCTCCTGGGCTCAAGTGATCCTCCTGCCTCAGCCTCCCAAAGCACTGGGATTATAGGTGTGAGTCATTGCAATGGGCCTACTGATTCTTTTCAAATGTGAGTCAGCTCACGTTACTTCTCTGCCCAAAAACCTTCCAATAATTCCTCGTTTCATTCAAAATACAAGTTGAAACCCTCATAATGGCATACAGGGTCCTGCATGATCTGCTCCCCATTACACCTCAGCTCTCATGTCCTACTACTCTCTCTTTCTCTCCCTTACTTCACTCCCCCACAGGGCCCCAGTGCTGCTCCGAGAACATGCCAGTCATGCTCTTGTCTTAGGGCTTCTGCACTGGCTGTGCTGTGCTTGGGACTACTATCCCCAGATAACATGCTAACTCCCTTCTCTCCTTCAAGTCTTTGCCCAGATATCACCTACTTCAGGAGATCCTACCTTAACCACTTGATTTAAAAGTGTAATCTACTTTGAAATGCCTAAAAAATACAAGATGTAGGTTTTGGTAGCAGGGTAGGGGTAAGAGTGGCAAGAACCAAGTCTTTCCTTGAAGGTGGCAAGAAGCAGCCTGTGAAGCAGCTCAAGAAGCAGGCAAGGCCAGGCGCAGTAGCTCACGCCTGCAATCCCAGAACTTTGGGAGGCTGAGGTGGGTGGATCATTCGAGGTCAGGAATTTGAGACCAGCTTGGCCAACAAGGTAAAACCCTGCCTCTACTAAAATTACAAAAATTAGGCAGGCATGGTGGTGAGCGCCTGTAGTCCCAGCTACTTGGGAGGCTGAAGCAGGAGAATCACTTGAACCCACAAGGCAGAGGTTGCAGTGAGCCAAGATCGTGCCACTGTACTCCAGCCTGGGTGACAGAGTGAAACTCAGTCTCAAAAAAAAAGCAGGCAGGGTCAGGTGCGGTGGCTCATGCCTGCAATCTCAGCACTTCGGGAGGTTGAGGTGGGTAATTTCTTGAGCCTAGGAGTTTGAGACCAGCCTGGGCAAAATACCGAAACCCTTTTTGTACAAACGATACAAACATTAGCTGGACATGGTGGTACATACCCGGAGTCCCAGCTACTCGGGAGGCTGAGGTATGAGGATCTCTTGAGCCCAGGAGGTGGAGGGTAGAGGTTGCAGGCTGCAGTGAGCTGAGACTGCGCCACTGCACTGCAGCCCTGGTGACAGAGCAAGACCCTGTCTCAAAAAACAAAAAACAAAAAAATGGAGCAGCCGCGGCAGGCCAAAGAGATGGACAAGGAAAATGAGGTCTTCCATTAGGAAAAAAAAAAAAAAGAACAGAAGAAACATGTACTAAAAGTGAAGCCATGGGGAGGGCCCCCAGCCACAGGTGGAATTTAAAAATCTGGCAAAAGTAAGCTGTTCCTTGTGGGGACTTCTTTTTTTTTTTTTTTTCTTTCTTGAGACGGAGTTTCGCTCTTATCGCCCAGCTGGAGCGCAAAGGTGCGATCTCAGCTCACTGCAACCTCCACCACCTGGGTTCAAGCAATTCTTCTGCCCCAGCCTCCCAAGTAGCTAGGATTACAGGTGCCCGCCACCACGCCCAGCTAATTTTTGTATTTTTAGTAGAGATGGGGTTTCACCATGTTTGCCAGGCTGGTCTCGAACTGCTGACCTCAGGTGATACACTCTCCTCGGACCTCCCAAAGTGTTGAGATTACAGGCGTGAGCCACCACACCTGGTCTTTTTTTTTTTTTTTTGAAACAAGGTCTCACTTTGTCGCCCAAGCTGGAGTGCAGTGGCACAATCTCAGTTCACTGTAGCCGCCACTGCGCAGGTTCCACGCAATTCTGGTGTGTCAGCCTCCTGAGTAGCTGGGGCTGGTATGAACCACCATGCCTGGCTATTTTTGTATTTTTTTTGTAGAGATAGGTTTCGCCATGTTGGCCAGGCTGGTCTTGAACTCCTGACCTCAAGTGATCCGCCCACTTCAGCCTCCCAGAGTCCGGGGATTACAGGTGTGAGCCACTGCGCCCAGCCACCACAGTGGTAACTCTTTATTCTGTTTCTGTTTAAACATCTAGATTCTCTGTCAAAACATCTGTTACCCTTTGTAGTTAGAATAAAGTGTTGTACATTTAATTTCTTTTTTATTTTTACCTTTTAATACTGATGAGGTCTTACTGTGCTGCCCAGGCTGGTCTCAAACTCCTGGGCTCAAGCCGTCTGCCTGCCTTGGCCTCCCAAATTGCTGGGATAATGGGCATGAGCCACCGTGCCTGGCCAAAATTTATTAATTTTTTTTTTTTTTTTTTTGAGACGGAGGGTCACTCTGTCGCCCAGGCTGGAGTCCAATGGCGCAATCTCAGCTCACTGCAACCTCTGCCTCCTGGGTTCAAGCGATTCTCTTGCCTCAGCCTCCCGAGTAGCTGGGACTACAGGCATGTGCCACCACACCCAGCTAATTTTTTGTATTTTTAGTAGAGACGGGGTTTCACCATGTTGGCCAGGCTGGTCTCGAACTCCTGACCTCAAATGATCTGCCTGCCTCAGCCTCCCCAAATGCTTGGATTACAGGCATGAGCCACTGCACGTGGCCAAAATTTATTATTTTTATTTGAAGTAAAAAAGTCATAAAATTTGCCCTTTTACCCACTTTGAAGTGTGCTATTCAGCGGCATTAACATTTGTAATTTATCACCTGTTATATTTTAATAAAAATGAATTAGCTATATTTCAAACTAGAATGTAAGCTCCTTGTGGGCAGGAATTTTGTTCTGCATTGTTGACTAATGTATCCAAGTGCCTAGCATAGTATCTGTTATATAACAGGCACTCAATAAGTATTTGTTGATGATAAAAGATACTAGATAATTCTAGTAATAATGCTGGTCTTTTCTAATATTGTCAATCTAAAAATGAGCTTCTTGGCTAGGCCCAATGGCTCATGCCTGTAACCCTAGCACTTTGGGAAGGCAAGGTGGGAAGCGTGCTTGAGCCTAGGAGTTCAAGACAAGTCTGGGCAACAAAGTAAGACCCCATCTCTACCAAAGCCCCCCCGAAAAACAAAACAAAAAAAGCCTGGTGTGACGCCTCATACCTATAATCCCAACATTTTGGGGTTTGAGACCAACCTGGGCAACATAGCACAATCTGTCTCTGATAGAGATATAAAAATTAGGCCTGGTGTGGTGGCTCACACCTGTAATATCAGCACTTTGGGAGGCCGAGGGGGGCAGATCACGAGGTCAGGAGTTCATGACCTGCCTGGCCAACATGGTGAAACCCCATCTCTACTAAAAATACAAAAAAATTAGCTGGGCATGGTGGAGTGGCCTGTAATCCCAGTTACTTGGGAGGCTGAGGCAGGAGAATTACTTGAACTGGGACCTGGGAAGCAGTGGTTACAGTGAGCCGAGTCTTAAAAAAAAAAAAAAAAAATTGCATAAAAATTAGCCAGGCATGGTGGTTTGCACCTGTGGCCCCAGCTACTTGGGAGGATTGCTTGCGCCCAGGAGGCAGAAATTGCAGTGAGCCAAGATGGTGCCAGTGCACCTAGCCTGGATAACAGAGTGAGAAACTGTCTCAAAAAAAAAAAAAATTGGGGGAAGGCCAAGGTGGGAGGATTGCTTGAGGCCACGAGATCAAGACCAGTCTGGGCAACATAGCAAGACGCCCATCTCTATTAAATAAGGAAAATTAGCTAGGCATGGCAGCACGGGCCTGTAGTCCTAGCTACCTGGGAGGTTGAGGCAGGAGGATTGCTTAAGCCCAGGTGCTCAGGGTGCAGTAAGCTATGACTACACTGCTGTACTCCTGCCTAGGTGACAGAGTGAGACCTTATCTCACAGAAAAAAAGAAAAGTTAGCATCTACAAAAATATTAGATCCACAAATATAAATGATCAATATGAAACCATGTAATAAATACTCCATTTATTCACCGTAAGCATGCTCAAAGTCCCAAGCTAAAAAAAAGACACTATCCATCTGGAGAAAATGTCACTGTTATGACACAGAACAAAGAAAACTTGAGAAAATACAGACCCAAAATATCTATTTTTATTTTTATTTATGATTTTTTGAGACAGGGTCTCACTCTGTTGCTCAGGCTGGAGTGCAGTGGCACAATCTTTGCTCACTGTAGCCTCAATCTCCTGGGCTCAGGTTACCTCCTACTTCAGCCTCCCGGGTAGCTGGGACTACAGGCATATGCCACCATATTTGGCTAAGTTTTTGTATTTTTAGTAGAGACAGGGTCTCACCATGTTGCCCAGGCTGCTCTCGAACTCCTGGGCTCAAGCGATCCGCCTACCTCGGCCTCTCAAAGTATTGGGATTACAGGCATGAACCACCACACTTGGCCTAAAATATCTATTTTTAGACAAAAAAAAAGATTCAGAATTTAGGATTATATGCAGAATTGTATATAATCATATAAAATATAGGATCAATCTGTATTAAATTTCCATCATGCTCTAGAATCTTGTTACTCAGAATGTGATCTGAAACATCAGCATCAGCATCACCTGCAAGCTTATTAGAAACGTTGACCCTCAGTCCCCACTTAGACCTACTAAATTCAGACCCTGCATTTTAATAAATGTCTATGAGATTTGTATGCCTGTGAAAGTGGGAGATGCCCTGCACCAGGAAACCACCTTAGTTACTGTATTATTCAGGTCTCCTAGAGCTGTTTGGCTTCTATTATATTTGACACAATGACTTTTTTTTTTTTTTTTTTTGAGACAGAGTCTCGCTCTGTCACCCAGGCTGGAGTGCAGTGGCCGGATCTCAGCTCACTGCAAGCTCCGCCTCCCGGGTTCATGCCATTCTCCTGCCTCAGCCTCCCGAGTAGCTGGGACTACAGGCGCCCGCCACCACGCCCGGCTAGTTTTTTGTATTTTTTAGTAGAGACGGGGTTTCACCGGGTTAGCCAGGATGGTTTCGATCTCCTGACCTCGTGATCCGCCCATCTCGGCCTCCCAAAGTGCTGGGATTACAGGCTTGAGCCACTGCGCCCGGCAGACACAATGACTTTTATATATCAATACAATGAAATCATGGTGCATATACGATATAAATGTATATTTACCAACATAGGAAGATGATCATATAATTTAAAAACACAGCATATAAAACATTATTTATATGTCAACCTTTTTTTTTTTTTTTTATTTGAGATGGAGTCTCGCTCTGTCGCCCAGGCTAGAGTGCAGTGGTGCAATCTTGGCTCATTGCAAGCTCTGCCTCCCAGCTTCACACCATTCTCCTGCCTCAGCCTCCTGAGTAGGTGGGACTACAGGCGCCTGCCACCACACCTGGCTAATTTTTTGTATTTGTAGTAGAGACGGGGTTTCACCGTGTTAGCCAGGATGGTCTCGATCTCTGGAGCTCGTGACCCACCGGCCTCAGCCTCCCAAAGTGCTGGGATTACAGACATAAGCCACTGCTCCCGGCCATATGTCAATTTTTTTTTTTTTTTTTTTGGAGACAGAGTTTCACTGATGTTGGGCAGCCTGGTCTCCAACTCCTGACATCAGGTGATCTGCCTGCTTCGGCCTCCCAAAGTGCTCCCATATATATATATGTTTATATATATAACATATATAAAGTTATATATATGGCCAGGCACGGTGGCTCACACCTGTAATCCCAGCACTTTGGGAGGCCGAGGCGGGCGGATCTCTTGAGGTCAGGAGATAGAGACTATCCTGGCTAACACAGTGAAACCCCATCTCTACTAAAAAAAATACAAAAAATTAGTTGGCGGGCACCTGTAGTCCGAGCTACTCGGGAGGCTGAGGCAGGAGAATGGAGTGAACCCAGGAGGCAGAGCTTGCAGTGAGCTGAAATCTTGCCACCGCACTCCAGCCTGGGCGACAGAGTGAGACTCCATCTCAAAAAAACAAACAAAAAAGTTATACGTATATATTTACATAGAGAAAAGTCTAGAAGTCTCCACTCTAAAATGTTAATAATGTAGGGAGAGGGATATTACAAATGATTTTTTTGTTTTTTGTTTTTGGTTTTTTTGAGATGGAGTCTCACTGTGTTGCCCAGGCTGGAGTGCACTGGTGTGATCTTGGCTCACTGCAACCTCCGCCTTCTGGGTTCGAGCCATTCTCGTGGCTTAGCTTCCTGAGTAGCTGGGACTACAGGAGCACACCACAACACCTGGCTAATTTTTGTATTTTTTTAGTAGAGTCGGGTTTCATGTTGGTCAGGCTGGTCTTGAACTCTTGACCTCAAGAGATCCTCCTGCCTTGGCCTCCCAAAGTGTTGGGATTACAGGCGTGAGCCACTGCACCCACCCCCCACCCGCCCTTTTTGTTTGTTTGGTTTTTTTTGAGACAAACTCTTGCTCTGTTGTCCAGGCTGGAGTGCAGTGATATGATCTCGGCTCACTGCAACCTCTGCCTCCCGGGTTCAAACAAATCTTGTGCCTCAGCCTCCTCTTTTTCTCTTTTGAGACAGAGTTGCTTTGTTGCCCAGAATGGAGTACAATGGTGTTATCACAGTTCACTGCAGCCTGAAACTCCTGGGGTCAAGTGATCCTCCTGCCTCAGCCTCCCAAGTAGCTGGGACTATAACTGCATGCCACCATGCCTGGCCAAGTTTATAACTTTGTTGTTGTTGTTGTTGTTGTTGTTTGTTGAGACAGGGTCTTGCTACATTGCCCAGGCTGGTCTTGAGCTCCTGGCCTCAAATGATCCTCCTGCCTTGCCTGTCAAGTTGCTGGGATTATAGGCACAAGCCACATTGCTGGCCTGTGAAAATAATAAAAGTTTTCAAAAATGGAAAATCTAAAATGAAACGGAGTTGTAATAGGACACATACGGCTCAGCAAGCATCAGTGGCAACGCATTCTCTTGTATCTTGGATGGACGATTGAAACCCATGGCATAGACTCCTTGGAGAAGCTGTGGTTTCCTAGAAAAACAGTTAAAGATGAAAGTCATTGTCTCTTTGGTTGAGGAAAGCAGCAAAATATCTGAAGGATTTTTCTCTTTTACTATTTACACATAGTTTTTTGTTTATTTGTTTGTGAGACAGAGTCTGAATCTGTTGCCCAGGCTGCAGTGCAATGGTGCAGTCTCGGCTCACTGCAACATCCACCTTCCGGGTTCAAGCAGTTCTCATGCCTCACCCTCCCAAATAGCTGGGATTACAGGTGCATGGCACCATGCCCTACTAATTTTTTTTTTTTTTTTTGAGACAGAGTCTCGCTCTGTCGCCCAGGCTGGAGTGCAGTAGTGCAATCTCAGTTCACTGCAAGCTCCACCTGCCGGGTTCACACCATTCTCCTGCCTCAGCCTCCTGAGTGGCTGGGACTACAGGTGCCCGCCACCACACCCGACTAATTTTTTTTGTATTTTTGTAGAGACGGGGTTTCACCATGTTGGCCAGGATGGTCTCGATCTCCAGATCTTGTTATCCACCTGCCTCGGCCTCCCAAAGTCCTGAGATTACAGGCATGAGCCACTGCGCCTGACCTAATTTTTTTATTTTCAGTAGAGACAGGGTTTCACCATGTTGGCCATGCAACTCCTGACCTCAAGTGATCTGCCTGCCTCAGCCTCTCAAAGTGCTGGGATTACAGGCGTCAGCCACTATGCCTGGCCTACACATAGTTTGTAATCAACAATAATTGAGCTGTGCTGAACTGAATACATGTTAGTACAGCTAAAGCTTTCACCCATTATCTGGAAATTTTACTAAATATCCCAAAACATCTAAAGTATTTGTTTATATTTTTTATATGGAGTCTGGTCTTGCTCTGTTGCCCAGGCTGGTCTGCAACTCCTGGCCTCAAGTGATCCTCTCACCTTGGCCTCCAAAAGTGCTGGGATTACAGGTGTGCACCACCGCATGCAGCTAAATTCTTTTATACAACTTGGTTAGTGGCTGGGCGCTTTGGCTCATGCCTGTAATCCCAGCACTTTGGGAGGCTGAGGCAAGTGGATCACGAAGTCAGGAGATCAAGATCAGCCTGGCCAACACAGTGAAACCTGTCTCTACTAAAAATACAAAAAGTAGCCGGGTGTGATGGTGCACGCCTGTAATCCCAGCTACTCGGGAGGCTGAGGCAGGAGAATCACTTGACCCGGGAGGCAGAGTTTGCAGTGTGCCAAGATCGTGCCACTACACTCCAACCTGGGCGAAAGAGTGAGACACCGTCTAAAAAAAAACAAAAAAAAAAAACCTTGGTTAGCTAAAACTGTTCTGTTGTGATAAAAAGATATCTATTACAGACCTAGGATCTCTATTTCAATGCAAAGGGGAGAGTCAGAAAGTGAATAAATACTCACAGCCGAAGCTCTTCAAAAGACTTCACTGAGTACAGAGGGGAGTTTGGATCCCGCTGCAGGACTTCTACTTGGTTTGTGTTATCGACAAGGTTGCTTCTGATCAGCTTGTTGAGTAAGGACTGGGCAGCTCTGTCCTCTGTCAGGAAAAAGAAAGCAAAGAATTTTTAAAAGTCCTTGAAACCTACCAAGCATTTACTCTAATTCAACTACCATTTGTATTTTGAATAATAATGTACTGAACATTCAACTTAAAGGTACCTCATAGTTTTGACTTATAAATTAAAATAGTTTTATTAAAGAAAAAAGTTATGATACATCACCCATTTAGGCCTCATACTCTTCTCCAGACTCTATCTAACAGCCCTCTTTTCCTGCAGTTACCTATTCCTCTTATCCAGACACACATATTTACTCCCCCATTTGCACTATATATAAACCTAAAGTAATTAACAATCACAACAATGGGAAAAAAAAACAGGAATTAACAAAGTCTGTACCTTAATATTGGACAAGTTGGTCTCATCTTGTCATGCATGTCAAATGTGTCAAAGTAACATTAAGCTTAATTTTATTCGACAATAGAGATTGTCCAATAAACTTAAAATTTTTTATAATGGCCTGTTCAAGTGTTCAGTTGTTCAGTGTAAACTTTCTCCAAACGTAAACCATTAGAACTCCTTCACCTATTGACTATTTATATTGAAACTTTTTTTTTTTTTTTTTTTTTGAGACAGAGTCTCGCTCTGTCTCCCAGTCTGGAGTGCAGTGGTTCAATCTTGGCTCACTACAAGCTCTGCCTGCTGGGTTCACGCCATTCTCCTGCCTCAGCCTCCCAAGTAGCTGGGACTACAGGTGCCTGCCACTATGCCTGGATATTTTGTTTTTGTATTTTTAGTGGAGATGGGGTTTCACCGTGTTAGCCAGGTTGGTCTTGATCCCCGGAGCTCATGATCCACCCGCCTCGGCCTCCCAAAGTGCTGGGATTACAGGCGTGAACCACTGCGCCTGGCCCCTATATTGAACTTTTATGCTAACACTGTATCACCCATTAAAGTCGAGCCAAACTGGCTATAAAAATGAAACCTCATAACAATCCACTTTCTTAGAATGTAGAAGCTTGTTATTATATAAAGCTCCATGGCTGTGTTACCTTTCTCTTCTTCATCTGTCTTCTCTGCATTGGTATTCGTCTTGACAACAGCACCTTTATCAGACACAAAGTGGCCATCACTCAAAATCACATCCCATACCCAATAGCTGGGACAATTCAAATTCTATAGCACTAGAAGTTTTTGTAAAGGCCTAGAGAGCAAAAACTAAATGAGGAAACCGGGCCGCTGATAAAAACATTTTATTGTACCTAAATAAACAAAGGTGTAAAACACTGTTGCTCATATATGTATATAGAGAGAGATATTTTATTTATTTATTTATTTATTTATTTATTTTGCCCAGGCTGGAGTGCAGTGGCGCAATCTCAGCTCACTGCAAGCTCCACCTCCTGGGTTCACACCATTCTCTGGCCTCAGCCTCCCGAGTAGCTGGGATTACAGGCACCTGCCACCATGCCCGGCTAATTTTTTTTGTATTTTTAGTAGAGACAGGATTTCACCGTGTTAGCCAGGATGGTCTTGATCTCCTGAGCTCGTGATCCACCTGCCTCGGCCTCCCAAAGTGCTGGGATTACAGGCGTGAGCCACCGCGCCCGACCTCTGTTGCTCATATTCTTTCCTATTCTAGGTCTCCTCCCTGTACCTCAAAAACTATTATTTCCCTCATTGAATTAATACTTCTGAAATATTATAGAAAGATTAGAGCAATTAGTGATCAGAAACCACCTTGATGCTCAACAGAGGAATATCTATGCAAATCGGATTTTATTAATATGTGAACACAATAATGCCATTAAAATTCATGTATATAACAAATGAGCTTACAAAATTCATGCAAATAAATTTTTTTTTCTTTTTTTTGAGACGGAGTCTCACTCTTGCCCAGGCTGGAGTGCAGTGGTGTGATCTCAGCTCACTGCAACCTCTGCCTCCCAGGTTCTAGAGATTCCGTTGTCTCAGCATCCTGAGTAGCTGGGATTATAGGTGTGCACCACCACACCTGGTAAATTTTTGTAGTTTTAGTAGAGATGGGGCTTCACCATGTTGGTCAGGCTGGTTTCGAACTCCTGACCTCAGGTTATCTGCCCACCTCAGCTTCCCAAAGTGCTGGGATTATAGGTGTGAGCCACCACACCCGGCCTATAAATTGTTGATTAATATAAATTTATAGTCAAATGATACTGTGGTTATATAAAATCATACAAAAAAGATTGTAAGTGAATTTTGAGAAAGGCAAATGTTACATTACCTTCCAGTAATATTAAGTACATCAACAATAATGGAAATCTTAAATTTGGATAAATATGATTTCAGAATAATTAGGATAGGTAAACTGTCAGATTCCTCGCACTTTGTCTATCTCATCCCAAATTGAGAACATTAAAAAATTAGTCTTTGTCAGTGTAGTCCCATGGTTAGTAATTAGTCCCACTTAAGTAGCCTAATTCGTTTTTCACTCCCACACCCTTGCTATCAGTGTGCAATCCTCATTCTTGTATTAAAAACACTTTGAAGCCAGGTGCGGTATCTCACTCTTGTAATCCCAGCACTTTGGGAGGCTGAGACAGGAGGACTGCTTGAGCCCAGGAGTTAGAAACCAACCTGGGCAACACACGGAGACCTCATATCTCTTTTTTTTTTTTTTTTTTTTTTTTTTTGAGACGGAGTCTCGCTCTGTTGCCCAGGCTGGAGTGTAGTGGCCGGATCTCAGCTCACTGCAAGCTCTGCCTCCCAGGTTTACGCCATTCTCCTGCCGCAGTCTCCCGAGTAGCTGGGACTACAGGAGCCCACCACCTCACCTGGCTAGTTTTTTGTATTTTTTTTTCTTTAGTAGAGACGGGGTTTCACCGTGTTAGCCAGGATGGTCTCGATCTCCTGACCTTGTGATCCGCCCATCTCGGCCTCCCAAAGTGCTAGGATTACAGGCTTGAGCCACCACGCCCGGCCGGAGACCTCATCTCTATAAAAAATAAAAATAAAAAATTAGTTGGGCGTAGTGCGTTGTGCCTGTAGTCCCAGTTACTCAGGAGGCTGAGGCGGAGGATCACTTGAGTCTGGGAGGTTGAGGTTCCAGTGAAGCATGATTGAACCACTGCACTCCAGCCTGGGCAACAGAGCAAGAACCTGTCTCTTAGAAAGTAAACAAATAAAAATAAATAAATAAAAACACTTTGGTCATACAAACCAGTTTGTTGATTTAAAAATCAGATGATACCAGTATCGTCCAACGCCCTGCCTGGTACAAATACAATTTTTTTTTTCCAGACAGTTGTTACACCAAAACAAAAATACTGAAGGAAATCACATTTGTTTTCAAACTAGCTATTAGTTACTTACCATTGGCATCTGGTTTGATTTTCTCTTCCTTAAGATGCAAGTTGCTCAACTAAATGGAGAATATGGGGGAGGGGGAAAGTGTCAGGAAAATCACTTAAAAAGATTTGGAATCAACAAAGCCTCCCTAACGAAGCTGGGGATAAAACAGCCATTCTCAAGGTATATTCATTAGGACCAATTCATTGAGTTGTTCCGTTTACTAAATGTCTGATGAGAATAAACAAAATTTCCCATAAATACATCAGTGGAAAAAAATGCTCCACATCGGTACCTTCTACTTACAATTTTGTGAGAGAATTGTAATTTGTGAGTTTGCTTAATGCCCTGATTATAAACTCTCTCTCTTCGTAGAATATCATTAGACTTGTCATTCTCTCATATTTCTTTTGTGTGTGTGGGAATTGCTCCATTTCAAATCATATTTCAAACGAGGAAATTTAAAAAGATGTTGAAAAAAATGCAGTCATACTTCGGAGAACACTGGGAAGGGAGGACTGCCATGAAAAGCATCTGTAAAGCTGGGTGTGGTGGCTCGCACCTGTAATCCCAGCACTTTGGGAGGCTGAGGCAGGCAGGTCACGAGTTCAAGAGATCCAGATCATCCTGGCCGACATGATGAAACCCTGTCTCTACTAAAAATACAAAAATTAGCCGGGGTGGTGGCGGGCTCCTGTAGTCCCAGCTACTCGGGAGACTGAGGCAGGAGAATGGTGTGAACCTGGGAGGCAGAGCTCGCAGTGAGCTGAGATCACGCCACTGCACTCCAGCCTGGGCGACAGAGCAAGACTCTGTCTCAAAAATAAATAAATAAATAAATAAATAAATAAATAAATAAATAAATAAGAAAAGAAAAGCATCTGTGGGTAGGAATTAGTCATGCTGCAGGATACGTTAGAGTCGTAAGACCACAGTATGCTTATGTGCAGCCTCACATTCAAGTCACCTTTTGCTGGTGTCTGATACTGTAGTTGGGAACAGCCTGGCGCATTGTGGCATACTGTGTAATTAAAATACCCACTAGGCTGAAGTGGAAATAGAAAGAAAGAGACAGAGCAAAGAGACATTTCAAAGAATGAATTACTACGACTTTGATCAAATACTGTATATTAGGGATATCCTAGCAGGTTTTATCTCCTCTATTAGAATGCAAATACCTTCCTGACAGGGCCTATTTCGTTTTCTACTGCTCCTTGAGTAGCAGGGCTACCCCACAGGAAATGTGCCCAGAGTAGCCGATATTTCTATTTTTGGTCTTTGGATGTAGCACAGAGTAAAGTAAGTGCTCTAGTTGTAAATTTTTCGTAAAAAAAAAAAATCAAAACAAAAAAGACTTTCTTTTTTTTTGAGACGGAGTCTTGCTTTGTCGCCCAGGCTGGAGTGCAGTGGCGCGATCTCAGCTCACTGCAAACTCTGCCTCCCAAGTTCACGCCATTCTCCTGCCTTAGCCTCCTGAGTAGCTGGGACTACAGGCGCCCGCTACCACCCCCAGCTCATTGTTTTGTATTTTTAGTAGAGACAGGGTTTCACCGTGTTAGCCAAGATGGTCTTGATCTCCTGACCTCATGATCTGCCTGCCTCGGCCTCCCAAAGTGCTGGGATTACAGGCGTGAGCCACTGCACCCGGCCAAAAAAAGACTTTTTTAAAGGTCAGAAAGCATCCGTAAGTCTTGGACCCCAGCACAGGGATCAGATAGATGAAAAGTCTGGCGTGAGTAAGTAACCTTTAAAGCTAAAGCCAACCCTAATCATAAAATATCAAGCAGGGCCTAAGACATCATCTAGTAAAAACAAAATGAAAATCACAACCTAATGGTTCTTTCTTTTTTTTCTGCAGACAGGGTCTTACTCTGTTGCCCAGGCTGGAGTGGTGCAGTGGCATGATCATAGCTCACTGAAGCCTCAACCTCCTAAGGCTCAGGCAATGTTCCTGCCTCAGCCTCCCAAGTAGCTGAGACGACAGGTGCTCACCACCATGCCCGGCTAATTTTTTTTTTTTTTTGAGATGGAGTCTCGCTCTGCTGCCAGCCTGGAGTGCAGTGGTGCTATCTCGGCTCACTGCAACCTCCGCCTCCTGGTTTCAAGCAATTCTTCTGCTTCAGCCTCCCAAGTAGTTGGGACTACAGGCGCACACCACCATCCCCAGCTAATTTTTGTATTTTTAGTAGAGACAGGGTTTCACCACATTGGCCAGGATGGTCTCGATCTCTTAACCTCATGATCCGCCCACCTTGGCCTCCCAAAGTGCAGGGATTACAGGCATGAGCCACTGCCCCCGGCCTGCCCAGATAATCTTTTATTGTGAGTTGGGATCTTACTGTGTTGCTCAGGCTGGTCTTGAGCTCCTGGGCTCAAGCGATCCTCCTGCCTCAGCCTCCCAAAGTGCTGGGATTATAAGCATGAACCACTGCATTAGGCCACATTTCTGTTGTCCCTCTAAGTCCAAGAACAGGAGAAAGGGGAAGGAGGGTAGGGAGGAGAGAATAAAAAAATGTTTTAATGGGTGAGAATGGAGGAGCCCCATTTCTATTCATGGAAATGGACAGGAAGTTTCTGGTGTCTTTCTGCTTTGGTATTGGGAAAGAAGCAGAAAGGGAACACATTAAAGAGATTAGAAAAGGCCGGGCGCGGTGGCTCAAGCCTGTAATCCCAGCACTTTGGGAGGCCGAGACGGGCGGATCACGAGGTCAGGAGATCGAGACCATCCTGGCTAACACAGTGAAACCCCGTCTCTACTAAAAAAAATACAAAAAATAGCTGGGCGAAGTGGCGGGCGCCTGTAGTCCCTGCGACTCGGGAGGCTGAGCCAGGAGAATGGCGCAAACCCGGGAGGCGGAGATAGCAGTGAGCTGAGATCCGGCCACTGCACTCCACTCCAGCCTGGGCGACAGCGCGAGACTCTGTCTCAAAAAAAAAAAAAAAAAAAA